AATTAATATTTATTTATATAAGGTATGTATATAAAATATTAATGAAAGACTTATGAATCAAATCCAATTTAGAATTGGATTTTCACGTCAAAGTCCATAAAGGACGTTCGGCAGATTCATTCCATTGGGATGGGATTTGAATTTTATAATAGGAAAATATTTCTAAGTTAGAATCCAAGTTAGAATTGGATTAGTAACGTGAATGTTTCAAAAAAGGACATAGAAATAATTCCTTGAAGTAGGCGGCCACTTTCATGCATATATAAAATGTGATTGTAACTTTACAATATAATAAATAATTGTAAAGAAGGAAAATGTTGAATTATCACATTCAGTCAAAGCCTCATCATTTTCCTTAGCTTTAAGGGAAAGAGTTGGTGAAGTAATATATATGCATAACTAAACGAATATGGCTAAGTAAGTTCTTTTGGAAATGCCGCAAGAGTCAAGAAATAACTTTTGGGCTGCAATTTTTGAGACAAATTTCAGCACAAGTTTTCATTCAATTTGTTCGCGGGTTTCATTGATCAAAGAGTTGATAGCAAAGATCGGTCTCGGTGTGGATAAACATAGAGTTTTCGCACTATCGAAGAAATTTTGAAACGAGACTCTCTTCACCAGGTACGTCTTAGATTCGATCTTTCACATATAAATAAATTTTAAACATGAAAAGTTCTGACTAGGATTGTTATTGTCTTCCGCTGCGTATTATGAACACCTCCCTCAATCCTACAAATAGACCCTTGTGGTCCAAACCTACCCCGGACCCGCACATAGCGGGAGCTTAATGCATCGGGCTGCCCTTTGGTTTGCTTCAAATTACTTTTTGCTTATATTTGCTAGGTTATAATACTCTTTCATTTTTTGTCTGTCTCGAAAAGAATGACACCTTTTTATATTTAGAAATAATTTAACTTTGAAACTTGTTGTTTAAAACAAGTCATAGCCATTTGTGTGATTATAAAATATGAAGTTTAAAGTTAAATTGTTTTTTAATATACAAAAGTGTTATTCCTTATTGGACAAGCTAAAAAGTAAAGTATGACACTTAGAAGCTTTATTGGCAATTAAACAGCTTAAGACCAGTTAATTGAGAAATTATGTACCCAGAGATAACTTGTTAGTAATCATGTATCTTTTGCCTTTTTGTTATACTAGCGTTGTCATCATAACTATCATTATCCTTAATTATGATTCATGTTTGCGATATATATTCCAAAAGAGACTTATTTCCAGATGCCGTGGTGTATACATATGTGCACTTTGCGATATGAAGTGGTTAAAGCTTGTAGGTGATGATTATTGTAGGTTCTAAAGCAAGTGGAATTAGAGCACACCACAGTTGAGTGGAAGTTCCTGAAATATGTACAGGAGCCTGAATTTGGACCAGGATTGCCCGTAAAGACAGTCTACATCACTGGAACTTTGGGTCGTAAAGATGGCAAATTGACGGGTTTGACTGACTTCACTCAGTTTATGTTTGACTTATCTCTTTCATGTATTGATATGAATACTGCTGTTGTGATTCAGCTGGTCTTACATTATAGTCTTACTAAAGAGAATCAGTAGCCTCCCAATTTGAGCTTGCTCTTAGTCCACCTTAAAGAGCTACACGGGTCGTTAACTTGTTAGATGTAATTTCCATACTTGTGTCTTTATTTTGGAATTAGAAATAAATTTCGAACCACAATTTTTGGTGGTTCGTGTGTAGGCATGGCACTGCCAAGTGGTTTACTTCTGCAGGACCAGTTATAAAATGATAACTACTCTTCTACATAGTTTCATACTGATAAATCTGCTATTTTGCTTTGCTATTTTCCCCAAATGAGATGGCATCCATAATTGCTAATGAGTTACAAAATACGACATACCATATTTTTTATTCCTCTCCACGATTGTCAAGAATGTAACATTGTAACTCATATTGAACAGATGTTGAGTTCCGCAAGTGGATGAGCACCGATAAATGCGTTAGTATGCTTGTTGAAGTGAAGCCTTGTAGTGATCGTGTAGGATCATTGGTGGTTGTTGGTCTTCTGAATGATTCAAAGAAATCTGATGAGACTTGGAAAGTTCCGCAGACCTTGCGGTTTCAGGTTTGTTATTTTTGTCCTGTACTTGCTTACCTGTCAAAGTGTTATTTTAGAAATGAGAAAGAAAGAATAGATTAACAACTATTGGTATCATACACAACTAGGGACTAATCATCCTTAGAAGCATCTTGAAAAATATTAATACCGTTCTTACATGAAGTTTCATGAACCGACCAGAGTCTTTTGTAAAGACCTGCAATCAAGAAAGAAATTAAGGGATAAGCAACAGATATCAATTGATGTGTGAAAATGAAAACATGGAAAATTCTGTTTCTTTGACTTTTTTATCATCTTAAGGACAAAATACTGCCCACTAATGTTTTTTTCCCTCATGTATCAGGAGTACCCTCCTGGTGTTAAAGTTATACCTATGGAAAGTAGAACAGCTAAGCCTTTTCGCACGACAAACTTAATTGTTTTCCTGCCTGGAGGCAATGATAGTGGTTGCGATGATAGTTTTGTTGCCCATGGGGAAGCACTCATAGTAGACCCCGGATGCAAGTCTGCTTCATATGAACAGGTTAGAGGTAGTACATAATCTACTTCGTAATCTTTTTAAAATGTGCAATGAACAAATGACATTTTGTCGGTCTTAGAAGTTAAACCAGAGAATACAAAAAATAATCCCCTCAAGCAACTGTTTTCGCAAATTTGGTCTTAAGCGGACATGGTGTAGCAATTTTCCTTTACTAAATATAGATGCACTTGGGGTTTTGTACACTTGTTAATACATTTTTTTTTTGAAGTGAGAGAGTTTCACAGGCCTAAGTGCATCTTTGCAAAATATATAGCGATTGGTCGACTATAACTCTATAGGGATCATGTAAAGTTGTAAAAAAGCAATGGTGGCAAATACTAGCGTGATACCTGCCTGAGTAAATTCTGACCAATTGCTATAAGAGCTAGGTTCGCTTCTACTGAAGAATCTTTGAACAATTTGGCCGAAATGTTTCTAAGGTGACAGTAGATAACAGCTCATTAAAGAGACCCTTCACTATCCAAATATCCATCTTTCAGAGTTCCTGAGCAATTGTCATACTTTAATTCTGTGTTGCTACATTTCTTGTATGTTTGCTTACCACCCCATAGATTATGATAACGCTTTAAGGATTCACCTTTCTGGCTGAAGGCTTTGTTCTTTATCCTATGATCTTCCTTGCTGGTTATCCGGTGCTTACATTTTGGATAAAAAAATAGTATATGTGGTTTGTTAAAAGAAAATGTCAATTAGTTCTGGCACTTTCAATTGCAAAAGCAGTAGAGGAGGTAAAACTGAGAATATTCGTTCAACGTTAGTACATAATGAAATGGATAGCTTTACCTCGGTAAATGGGTCTTTGCACGTGTTTCTCTTTTCGGTATGTCTTGATAATCTATTTAGGAGTGGTTGAGACACTTATTATGCTTCTCTCTTTGTTTTCATCTTTTTTTTTTTCTTTCTGGTAATTGGTTCTGTCTTTTATGCTGTGCTGACATATCAATGCGCTGATGCTTGGATTACTAGCTCAAGGAAATCATTGCTGCTTTACCGAGAAAGTTAATCGTCTTTGTGACACATCATCATAACGATCATGTTGATGGTAAGTAGCTGCAGAAAGTTTCACATCCAGACCTGGAAATATTCCTCTGCTTAGTGTTATGCTATCATCTGATTTTCTCAACATTGATGTCATCATATATATTCATCAAAGGTTATCCTTATGTATTTGCCCTTTGTTTGAAAGTATCTTTCTTGAGCCTTCTGGCCAAAGCCTAGTTTTCATGTAAAGTAAGTCACAAATTTCATTTTCCTTGCATCTGGCCATTTTTATGGATTAGAAAAAAATAGCCTTCTTTTTGCAGTTATGAATTTACAAACAGTTATCTGGCTCGTCTGCGAAGGTTTGTTGACTAATTGCAGCATGGCTTTATTATTGGATGTCTATTTCAATAGAAGCAGGGGAAAACTTTATAACACAATGAATAATTTCTCTGTCTACCAAACTAATGTGGAGGTTTTCTAAGTTATTCCTGAAACATAATCTGGTGCTCCGTGTGCTTACTGTTATGCTCAGGTCTTTCAGTAGTCCAGAAGTACAGTCCTGATGCTTGTCTTTTGGCTCATGAAAATACGATTCGTCGCATTAGAAAAGGTCAGAACTTTTTTCAATTTTGTAGAATAGAAAATGTCTATCTTCCCATAATTACATCACCTTAGCAAGGGTTGCAGTTCTCTACCCCTTTTTTTTGGGAATCTATATCTTCCCTTTCAAGCTAATAAGAAGAGTTGCTACTTGACTATGACTGTATTAGTGTAACCTCAAGTGAGCTCAATAAAAAATATACTCATGAAACTACTTCATGCACCATTTCCATCTTATTAATCTCACAGTACGTGTGAAAGTGAAATATTCTTTATCAAGTAAATGAATTTAGTAACTTAGAAGTAATTCCCATGTGATGCAGATGATTGGTCTCTCCCGTATGTTTCAGTTTCTGGATCTGAGGAAATTTGCATTGGCAGTCAGAGATTAAGAGTTGTCTTTGCACCGGTAATCTCCATTTTTATCCCAGTTTCCTCTGATGAGTATCACATTCCCCAATGAAATTTGCACTGGTAGTCAGAGATTAAGGGGACCTCTTGATGATTTGACCATTAAGAATTTTTACTAGAGCATGGTGAAGTTGTGATTAAACTTAATACCAGAAGTTGTAAGAAACCAATCAAGTTAAAGTCACATCCTAGTTTTACTTCCGTTTTAACTCTATCTTCCATGTAACACGTTGACATTTTCATGTAATCAGTTTTGTGGAACTTTAACATATTCTTTTGGTGACAATATTTTGATTCAGGGGCATACAGATGGACATATGGGACTGCTTCATGTTAGTACAAACTCGTTGATTGTGGGGGATCATTGTGTCGGGTAAGATATTTTAGATCAAGAAACTTCACTTCCTTTAACAAATTGGTATGTTCACTTGGTAAATAACTTACAGACTTGCTTACCAGTTTTTATGTAGCTCTTATTTATAATGATATGGCAAACAATCTGATCAAGAAGTCTGTGATTGTGTTTGGACAACTTTAGATTTGTTTGCCATAACTTTTATCATTTATTTTCCTATTCCTTTCTAGAAAATTGCTAATGTGGGGTATCCCTTGGTTTTCAGCCAAGGAAGTGCTCTCTTAGATATGGCGTCTGGTGGAAATATGAGGGTAAGTTAATATCAGCACCTCTATGTTTCTTCTTGCCTCTGTCATACGTCAAATGCTAATTAGAAACTGATGATTTGCTGTTGTTCAATTATGCTTACTAAGATCTGACTTTGAAGCTTAATCAGCCAAAAAATCACGTCATTCCTTTTTTTCCCTATATAAAACTCATATACTTGTTTTCATGTCAATGGACAAGCCTTTCCATGCATTCTATAATTTTCTTGAATAGCTTTCTCTTTTTCCCTCTATAACTTTTAAAACTTGTTGTCAACTAGTGTCTCCACTCAACGAAGAGGGAATTAAGACTACACACCAAACATCTCGTGCAAATTTTGTTACAATTTTTAAGTTTAATTTATATCAAAAGGATCAACTACGTCCATGAGAATGCTATTAACAGTTTGAGTGAATGGAATGACAATCTAGTTCTAGTATTGTGTTTGTTGTGGGTACTTAGGGTGAAACTGGTGGCACCATTGTGTTCCTTATATTGTCTTTCAGAGGAGCTTTTATCTACATTCAGGTTTCCCCTGGTAAATTTGAAAACATCCACTCAATAACCACTAAAAACTTGCTAAAATAGTGGATATGTGTTTCTTGTAGCTAGTGGTGGGGTGTTCAACAAGAGCACATAGCTGAATTCTCTAAAGCTAAATTACTATCTACTTTAATTTTACCAGTTTTATTTTTATTTTTTGATAAGGATTTTTGCTCTTTTTTATAATACCCTTGTGAATAAGATAAGAATTAAAGCAAGGAGTGGGGTGGTCATATGTTAAATTTTTCTTCTTTTCGAAATTTCAATATTGAAATTGCAACTTGTTTTATACAGGATTACTTTGAGACAACATACAAATTCATTGAGCTCTCCCCTCATGCTTTGATTCCAATGCATGGAAGAATTAATATGTGGCCAAAACACATGCTCTGTGGGTATCTCAGGTATGAAACTGATACCTCTTATGACATATTCCACAAATATTTTTACCCAAAGTGTCTTTTCTGTCTATCAGCCACTTGGACATATTTATATATGATTTACAATTTATGTAGCAAACCTGCATGTTTACCTTGTTGCTTTCTCCCACTATGTAATTCTTTTACTCTTGTTTAATTTATCATTCTGTTAATATATGTGTTAAGCAGTGAAATTTGTTCAGTTAGTTTTATGTTTATTTACAATTTTCATGCCAGATGCCAATCAAAGCTAGATTTTCATTCTAAAAAACTGTATTAAACAAAAACACGGCTAGATTCAATTGATGCACATCTAATTTAGTGTTACCTGGGATTTTCAGAAACCGGAGACACAGAGAATCAACCATCTTAAAGGCCATAGAGAATGGCGCCAAAACGTTATTTGACATAGTTGCTTATACTTATGCTGAAGTTGACCGAAGCCTCTGGTTTTATGCCTCATCAAATGTGAGACTCCACGTGGATCATCTAGCACTGCAGGACAAGTTACCAAATGTATGTCTTCTTTGCTCCTTTGTGGATTCAACCTCAATTCTTTATACGTCTGAGCTCATCTTCATAATCACTTTTGTTTAGCATATTCACATCCGATTTAAATTATTTTAGTTTTCTATGTGATATCCATCTGTCTTCTTGATTGTTATTCTCATTGTTATTTACTACCATTTTATAGTGGAGAACTATTTGCACATTCAATGTTCTGTCTCAATATCCATCTGATGCACTGTCCTGTAGTGAAAAATCAACTCATTGAAGCCTGTTAATCAGGTTGAACATACCTAGGACGAATGGTCTGCAAGAAGGATGTCAAATTAAGGACAAAGAATAAGCTACTAAAATCAATGCTCCTCTTTGAAATCTACATTGCATGGCTATCTTACGGGCTATGATGAGCTCAGTTCACTGTCAAACCTATCAGTTTCGTTGAGTTGTGGTCCATGGAATGTGGTATTTTGCAATTTTTTTCCAATTTTCAGGTTGAAAGTTTTCATATTACAAGAGCTTATGTTTCTTGAATTATTTTATCATGAAGTAGATATGATTGCTAGTCCCTTTTCGTGGAAACTTTTGGTGATCCATAAACTAGATTTGGGCCCCTAGAGAAAATTATCGATGATAGTGTATGCAAACACTTCTGGATGCTGATTTGCTCTGTTTCTAGCTTGAGTGTAGATATAAGTACAATAGTTGGGCCATATATTCATGTCTTTAGTAACTTAATTGATTAGGATCCCAAACTTTTCTGTGTCATGTGCAGGACTTCTCTTTAGAAAATTTCAATCGCAGTTGTGCTGAGTTTGCTGACAAGGTGCATAAAAAATAAGGAAACTTTCAGAAAGCTGCCCACTAAGACCTGCAATTACCTTTATTCCTTTAGGTTGGACGGCTACTTATTTTCGCTGTAATAGTCTGTACTGCCTAAATAAAATTCATCAGATACAGTCTTGAATACAGATCATTTTCTCAAAAGCATTGTATCTGTTTGTGACTTGGTTTCATATTATCAAGGGCCTAAAGTTATTTCCATCATTGATTTGCAGGATTTTTCGATCCAAAATTTTCAAGCAACTTGTGCGTTGCGTTTCCTTTTAAGGTGGCTATTCGAATACTCAAGTAGTGCATTCTCAATAAAGCATCACACGATGAGAGCGGCTTTAATAGTTGGTACTGGGGCCGTGGCCATCGGTTGCTTGGCTGTATCATTCTCCACAAAGAAACAAACTTTTTCTAGGTGATGCAAAGAATTCTTGCTCCAGAAAGCAGAGTTTATTAAGGAAGTTAATACCGGCTGGCTCCAGGTCATCCTCTCTCTCAATGTACCAGTAGTTCTAAGAGAAGGGGTAAGATATTTGAATTCCCGGTTTTTAGGAGTAAATTACATTGATAATGTTGTATGCATATCTCGCCACAATTGTTCTGCATTTCTGCATCTCTGATATTTCTTTGTGGCTGAAGTATGAGATTGGATTAATTAGACGATAGACAAGATATAATGTTTATTGAGCACAAAACTTCTGAGACAGTTAATGCAGAAACCATCTTGTGTTTAGCTGTGCCTGTTACTTCATCGATGAGTGCATTTTTCATTAGCGGTGCCTATTGTTTCATGGATGATGAGCATCAAACTCAGTAGCTGTATATAGTATCTTCTTTCTCTTTTTACTGTCTAAGATCAATGCCTATTCCTAATGTAATTCTGCACAATAAGTTGTTCAGCTCCGTACATTATTTGTCATTTTAAGCATACAGAATTTCAGCATCTGCTTTCTTGTTCACATGTAATCCATGCATGGAGCAGGTCGCGCGGTGTGGATGTAGTTTAAAGTGATGGTAAAATATGTAAAAAGGGTGGTAATGAAGTAAATTCTATGCATCATTTATCATATACTGTATCCTTGTCCATTTTCTCACTGCATGAGTTTATGTTGTATGCACTTACGACGTATAATATTTTAATGCTATCAGGTTAAAGGCATCTACAATAACAAGTTTCAAACAAGATAAGTCTAAAAATAAAGAAGAATTTTCAGAAACCTATTATCTTTCTATAGCTACCATCTACATAATTACTTCCTATAGCTACTATTCAAATGTTACGATAGTCTATTCACATGTATTCGTGCTCCTGTATTCATGAATACAACGGTAAAAAGTGCCTAAAATCAGGGCAGTCCAACTGTACACTATATTCGCGCTGCTATATTCATGAATACAGCAGTAAAAAGCGCCTAAAATCAGGCAGTCTAGCTGTACGCGCATGTATTCACATGTATTCATGAATACAACAGCAAAAGCGCCTAAAATCAGGGCAGTTCAGCTGTACGCGCATGTATTCACATGTATTCGCACTGCTGTATTCATGAATACAGTTATACACGCATGTATTCACGCCATGTATTCATGAATACAGTAACGACAATCCCTTAAAAATAGGTATGTCCAGTTGTCTAAGAGAGAGGAAAAACATAAATAGCGTATTTCATGCCTTATTTCGTGCATTATTTCATGTCTCGATGGTAGTATATACCATAAAATACTTATTTTGCTATAAAATATAAAAGACAGCTATAGAAAATAATATTTTAAAATAATTTTGGTTTATGATAAATAGAGTGTATACCTTTGCTATAGGAGGTAAAATTTTCAAAAATAATGTAGTAACTTGCTACAAGTTAAATTATGTAACTTTTAAGCCGTTTCTTTATACTGTCAGTTTATATAACTTAAACCCGTTCTTTACCATTCATTTCCTCCACACTCTGTTCTTTCTTCAGGGCTCATAATTGCAGTTTACTTTAACTGCAATAAAAACAAAAACCACACCTTACTTCTTTCATTTTCACATTTTCTTCTTGCCCTATGCCAACACTTCCCATGCGCCTTTGCATTCATTCCCTTTACACATTTTTGCTGCATTCCTCATTTTCTCACTTTATAGATATCATAAATTGATACCTTATGTTATCATATTTAAACTAAACAAAATAGAAGGTAACAAGAAATGTACATAGCCATGTCTGTTAGAGAAATCTCTATACGCATAAAAAGAGAAGTTGAACAAATGAGTTTCCAAATTGTTACTACCATTGTCTTTACTTTGTCTATGGCATTTTTTGTACTACTCTTAGGAATGTTCATCAATGACCAATTCAAGAAGATTGTTATCTATGAAGATTTCTACTTTCCTCATCAACTCACTACACTCTCATCACCAATCTACAATCTCTCAGTCGTCTCGACACATCTTGTTTGTAACTCTTCATCTAATTCTAGTTCAAATAAGAGCATGGATTTGAAAGATTTTCTTTCTCCTAAGGATCTTTGGCACGCGATGAACGACGATGAACTAATGTGGAGAGCTTCAATGGTGTCTCAAGTAAAAGAATACCCTTTTAATAGAACTCCAAAAGTGGCATTCTTGTTCTTAACAAGGGGAAGATTGCCTTTAGCACCACTTTGGGAGATGTTCTTTAAAAGAAATGAAGGGTTGTTTTCAATATACCTACATACTTCACCAGAGTTCAACTTTGAGCCTCCACCATCATCTGTGTTTTACAAAAGGAGGATACCTAGCCAGGTTCAAACACTCATATATTTTTTGTATTTAGGCAATTTTTCCTAATTATTTTGTTTTTTACCTATTACATTTTGGGATCTTATACAACTAGCTGGTCGGATTCACTGTTTACTTTCTTAGCAGGTATACATAGATTATACATGGTTACACACACATATTGGTGATTGGTTATACACATATTATTTAATGGACTATGCATATATTATACATTCGCCGAATTTTTTTATTTTAAGCGGTTGGGTAAACGACTATTTAGGTTAATTCTTCTTACATTTTTCCGCTTTCTTCTCAGATTCCTAAAACTCCATAACTTTACCTATGTGATCATAATTCCACCATGCAGAATTAAAATTTCCTATATGCCAAGGAATAAAGTGAACCAAAAATTGGGGAGAAATAAAGAGTCATTTTATCCTAAGTTGGTCTATATGATTTGTTAGCTGAAAAAAATGTATAAAATTTGTATATAGCATACAAAATGTATATTTATACAAAAATTATATATTTTTTTACTATTATTTTGAGAGTGGCGATACAATGTCATTTTTTCAATAATTTAGCTTCTATATACTGACAGATACTTGTAATTAACTTTTAAGTAACTTTATAGGGGGAAAAAACCCTTCACTTAAGCCTTTGTTTTTGGGATTTTCTATAAAACAAACCAACCTAAAAGTACTTTATATGAAATTCAGGTAATTAGTTCTAGTATTTTGGTAACCTTTCAAACCATGTAGCCTTAACCAGAAGAGCATTTGTTTAAATTACCCTTTATCTTTCTTTTTAAGCGTCTCACTTTATTAACACTAATTAAAACAATTAGGTAGCTTTAGAAAATAAATAAATGACCTCTCGTTTTTCTAAAATTTCAAATATTTTCTAAAATAAATTTAGTTTAACAAAACAACTAATATTTGGGACCGGGGGAGGGGGGTAATTTCTTTTGTATGCTAAAGTGCACCTCATAACATCATAAGTACTATCTTTCATGCAGACAGTACAATGGGGAAGAGCAAGTATGATTGATGCAGAGAGACGACTTCTTGCAAATGCACTCCTCGACATCTCCAACGAAAGATTCATATTACTCTCCGAAACATGCATTCCTTTGTTCAACTTCACTACAATTTACAATTTCCTAACAAAATCCAACCAAAGTTTCCTAGGATTATTCGACGATCCGAGGAAAATAGGTCGTGGGAGGTACAACAAACGTATGCACCCGATCATAACAATTTCAGATTGGCGAAAGGGCTCGCAATGGTTCGAAGTTCATCGCAAACTCGCCCTTAAAATTATCTCTGACGTGACATATTACCCTGTTTTTAAGAATTATTGTACACCACCTTGTTACATGGACGAACATTACTTGCCAACATTAGTGAACAAAGTTTGTCCTAAATTAACGTCGAATTGGAGCGTTACATGGGCCGATTGGTCGGCTGGCGGCTCGCACCCGACAACATTTTTGAGAAAAGATGTAACGGAGGAGTTTTTGGATAGTGTTAGGTATGGGTTTAATTGTAGTTATAATGGAGAGTTGAGTTCAATTTGTTTTCTTTTTGGGAGGAAGTTTCATCCTAGTACTTTGCAACCTTTACTTAGGATTGGACCAAAGTTGCTTGGTTTTGGTTGACCGATTATTTCCTTGTCTTTTTATGGAATTTATAAGTTTTTTTAGGGATGGTATAAAAAATATTTACAAAATTAAATCACTTGTAATAATTGAGTATCATCAACCTTTGCGTTGGTAGTTTCAAAATCGCAAGACTTTTGTTTATAAAAATTTTAATCCCATTTTGTTCCTTTTTGTCCCTTCACTTTCAAGAGCCGCGAATGTATTAGAGGTATATATACTAACAGCGGAAATAATATTTTACTATGTATTAATATAGTTTGACATGTTATAGCGGGTTATTAACATTCACTTTCAAGAGGCGTGAATGTACTAGAGAAAAATAACACTATTTTTAACACTAAATTTCTTAGAATCGTTTTCTAAATTAGGATTTTATTGAAATATTACACATCTCACCTAAATTGCAGTAATCCACAATCTTTTTTTATTTTATTTCTAGAAGTTGAAGCTACGAACAACGTGTGATCCTACCAATCAATGAATTTGGAAATTACCCAAAAAAGCAAATCATTAAATGGTAAATCACATGCATTGTCATTGATAATAAATGATAACTCCACTTTTTTTTAGCGTACAAAACATGGACGCAACTAGCTTGACCATACAAAGGTATGCACTGTGCTTCCACTATGCGCAGAATCCGGGGAAGGACAAGATCACAAGTGTCTATTGTACGCAATCTTATCTTGCATTTTTGCAAGAGGCTGTTTCCACGGCTTGAACCCGTGACCTCCTGGTCATATAATATCAACTTTATCAGTTACGCCAAGACTCCCCACCATACAAAGATATTATGTAAATGCAACAATCCCACCTCCTTTGGCACACAGATTGGATGTTACAATCTCAATTATATATATTTTTGGTATTCGAGAAATTCCCGAGAATTAGTAAACACACAATTTAAAACTCGAAATATCTTTTAGTTGATTGGAGTGATATCTCTAGTTGTATCAAAAGTAAAAGCTCAGCCTACCAATAATATTGTCCGCTTTAGATTAGGGCCCGCACAACTTTAAAATGCATTACTAAAGTTTAAGGTTTGTTTACATATATACTTTGTATCTCTCCCATATTTTGTTAATATGAGATTTTCCTGGTTGGGGTATCACAGTAGATCTTTATGTATTTTTATTTGCTATGTTTTATTTTAATAATTGACTAATTTCTTGTATATAGAAGATGTTCGATTAAGTCATTTTGTATCACACGTGTTTGTCTTGCAGTTCTACTTTACCCCCTCTAAAAAGTTGGCCCTCAGCAATATAAAAGATTTTGACTTTTAACAAGATTCATCGTGACGAAATGCATACTTGTTAAACGCTAGTACATTATTCCAATTGGGACAAATACCTTTAATTAATTCTGATCTGATAATATATTAGTAAATTATTTATTATGCTTATCAGTATTTGACATAATCTCAGCATCTCTTCGACTTGGTGCATTGGAACATCTTAAAAACTAGCTAGTCAACCTTAAAAAGAAAAACAAGGGATTGTAGGTAGGTAACAACGGCGCACATTAAAAATAATAATAATTACTTCTCAATCTCAAATAAATTTGATTCGACTATATGAATCCTTACTGACTATATATTCCCTTTTAATTCATATGAGGCCAATTGAATTTTAATAGAGCTAAAAGACTACTAGAAAGCATAGGATCTGAAGTAATATATTTTCAACTAAAGTAAACGTATTACACACACAATATCGATAAACAAAAGCGAGAACGTTTATTAATTAACTACAACTTAGTGATAACAGTATATCAAGGACACATATTATGTATTTATGAATCAGTTTGGTGTAATTGTGTAAACATTAACCTAAGTTTGAATGCAAAAAGTGAAAAATCATGTAATTAATATAGTAGGATTAATGTTGAAGAGGTCAATTGTATGGTCTCTGTGTTTTGGCCACCAGCTTGGAAAACTTTTGAAAAGTCTTTGAATTGGTTCTTCAATGGCAGCTAATGCATAATAAATTGGACTTCTCCTGTAGTTATTTCCTACAGGCTGCCCTCAGAACTGGAGGCCCCTTGACCAACTAATTATATTCTTTCCTTCTTTTTTTTTGTGTGGTTTTCATATGATATCCGATATTCGCATTGGGCCCGATTAAATCTGGATTCGCGCCGAAAAGTCTCACTTTAGAGGGTAAAGCGGTCTCTAACAACGATTCCATACTAGAGAACTCAGGTTAGTTAGTTAGACCAACTAACTATATTCACAGCGATTGTTTTTTTATTCTTCTTTTCTTGTTACACAATAATAATATTATAAAAGCTGCAATTTTTAAGTAAATGAAAGCTAGTTGCCAACTAAAAAAGACAATAAAAGAAACAATGATTAGAGGAAGACAAGGTATATACATCCACCGTGGATAAGAGTTTAATGGTAAAAGATTAATAAAGATTTTGATAGAGCTACTAAAAGCTTATAAAATTATTCTCTTTGTTCCAATTTATGTAAACTTATTTGACTGTGCACGAAATTTAAGAAAAAATGAAGATTTTTTGAATTTATAGTCAAGTTAAAAAGGGATCCAAAGTATTTGTGTGGTTATAAAAGTTTCTCATTAAGGGTAGAATTGGAAGTTTAAGGTAAATTATTTCTAAATTTAGAAAGGGGTCATTCTTTTTGAAACGGACCCAAAAGGAAATAGATTCACGTAAACCTGAAACGGATGTAGTATTATTTTTTGAGAAGTGTTTAAAGGGACAGACAATAGTAGACTACATTTTCAAAGTTTTTTATCTTTCTTTTTTGTACTCACTTTCAACAGAAACAAAAAGTAAAAAGAAAAAAAGAGTAACACATAAGAAGTATGAATTTTTTCATTAGACCCATACCTTACTTAATTATATCAAAACCTCAGAAAACTGAAGAAAATTAAATAAGCATACTATCCAATTTTTGACTGGCCAAATTTATCCATTAATTTAGTACTCCCTCCTGTCTATATAATATCTCTTTTAGTGTTTTTGCACATACCCTTTTGGAGAAAATATTTAATAGCTTAATCATAACACTTTATTTTGCTTAAACTATTATTTAGTTTTTCCTTAAATGTTTCATTCAATTAAGACTTTAATGATTTGAGCAGCAAAGGTAGATTTGAAAAACCAAATATCTTCTTATTTTTTCAAATTCTAAATATTTTGAAAGAGATTTATTGGCCAAAATAACTGATATTTGAGAGATGTAACTAGTAAAAATGTTTTCGCACTCGATATTTACATAAAATCATGTTAATTTATTATCGTTAAGTCATATATTAAGGTGAAACTATGGATTAATTAACTATGATTTCGTGATAAAAATGAACACAAAGATACATTTAATTTATATATCAAATTGATATAAATATCAAATGCAAGTAAACTTCTGCCAAAACAAATGGCCTCTAAACGTATATTAGGGATCAGAAACTTTTAAGAAAGTAATGGGTCCCGAATTCCCCAAAAATTGCCAATTCCACTTTCCTCTTTGTCTACTGGCACATGTAATTTCCTTTCCTTTTCCTTCTAATATTTGAAAAAGAAAAAATTGACTTTTCCATTAATATTTTCTTTCCAAAACCCACCTCATTTGAACGATCTAGAGTTTGCAGACCTCCTTTTATAGCAGTTTGGCGGCTAATATATGACATGGTTTTAAGTTATATATGAACAATTTAATTTCACTATTATATAATAATTATATTGTATAATTAATGCCTAAAAGTAAAACTCGAAGATCAGTATAGCCCTTCCCCAAGTTATAAGTTACATTAAATTCATAGTATATGCTTAAAATGATACTTACAATAATCTTTATATAGAAAGTTACACTTACTATAATTATATTATTATATAGGAGCTTAAATAACCGCTCTCTATATTTAGCACGCGTGGATGACATATATGGAAGGTTGACTTATATTCCAAGTTGTAACAACAGCATGATTTTTTTTGGTTTATTTTTGTATATATATTAGACTTTATTTAATACTTGGTTTATAAATATGATTAGTAATAGGTACTTAGTTTGCCACTAGATTTACTATAAGATCTTATTTCTTCATTCAAATATTATTTCCTCTTTAAAAGTCTACTCCCTTTTCTTCTTCTTCTTCTTCTCTCTTCTATGTGTGTTTTCCTTTGTCCAAAGACAATGAAAAATCAAGACCAAAACTCCATAGCAATGGCTATCAAACTATTCAACACCCCATTAAATATTCTAAATCTCCTTTCTTCTTTCTTCTTCTTTGCTTGTGGTTTAACTTGTGGTATTATTTTCACTTTTTATTTCAAGAATTTTTATAGCCTCAATTTACAAGTCATTAATAGCCAAATATTATCTTATTCTTCTTCTTCACAACCCTTTTCACCACCACCTCCACCATCACCACCGCCGCGGTCGCCGCCACCCCGAGTAGGGTTAAATGAGTATATTAAACCACCTAGTTTACTTCAACATGATATGAGTGATAAAGAATTATTATGGAGAGCTTCTATGGTACCAAAAATTCAAGAATTTCCATTTAAAAGAGTTCCAAAAGTTGCTTTTATGTTTTTAACAAGAGGGCCAGTTTTATTATCACCACTTTGGGAAATGTTCTTTAAAGGAAATGAAGGGTTTTACTCCATTTATGTGCATTCTGATCCTTCTTATAATCAATCACAACCTGAAAGTCCAATTTTTCATGGCAGGAGAATTCCAAGCAAGGTCAGTTTCATATTATAGTTTCTTTGTTTTTTCGTTTCTATTACAATTTCTTTCATATTGTTTCAATTAGTAGATTGTAAATTCAGTGAGACGAAACCTACTTAATATTTAAGTGGAGAAAGATAGAGGAGACTAAAAAAAAAAGAAGCTAATTTCCGACGAAAATTGGCTCGTCAGTACCGCTTTCGTCGGAAATTAGCATATTTTTGGTAGTGATGTGGACCCATTATCTTCCGAGTTTATTCGAACAATGCGCTTTGTGAAACATCATCTTTACTTGCACAATGTATGAGTAAGGTTGTGTACTCTTTACACTTCCCAAGTATTACTTATGGGGTTACACTGGACATTTTATTGTCATTTGTTGCGCTATTGAACTTGGAGATTATTTAGAGAAATATTTTTATGGTTAAAACTATTAAACTTTTTGTTAATGAGTGTGCAAAAACTTTAAAGAATAGATAATGTGGAAGTAACGTAGTATTTTTCTTAACAATTAAGGCTGCTAGAATTCATACGGTGATAAAAAAAAATTGGCTTATAATATTTGTCACTATACTATGGTACGTTGGAATTTATGTGTCGTTAGTGGGGCAAAACAGTAGACCATTTTGTCATATTAGTAAAGTTTGTGTAGGACTCTGACAAAAAATGGAATTAAAAAAATAGTTAATGAAGGATATTTAAGTTGTTGAATTGTAAAGAAAAGAATAGAGTGAAGTCTAAGGGCTATGATTCTTTCTGTTATGAAAAGTCAAGTCGAAGTGGAGAATCATCACGTTCTTTACTATTCCAAAAGGATTAGTCAATAAAGAAATGCAAAAATGATAATTTAAATGGCTCTACATTTAAAAGAAATTAAGGATTTTGAAAAGAATTCGAGGATTAACTTTTCTAAGAGGATTTATTAGAAACCTAGTGTTTTTCTAGAAATCCTAGTTGTTGGATTTATTAGCAATATATGACCTCGTCTTGGTCCCAATATCATGTTGAAATTTCCATCTTTTTATGAAAGAATTTTCTTTAGAAATGTATTTTTTAATCACTCCCAAAAATAATAGCCATCAAATGATATTATTTTATATATATATAATTTTTAACTAGCAAATGCAATTAGTTTTTGCCAACCGGCTAATTTTTATACTTTGCCCAAAATTTTTAATGTCTTACATTTGTACATTGTGACCAATTGATTTGCATGGCCGGCCCTTGGGTCTTAGGAGAAAATAGAAAAATGACATTGTATAGCCGCTTTTAAAATAATAATCGAAAAATTTATATTTTTTGTATATATACATATTCTGTATGTTATATACAAAAATTATACAAATTTTATATACTGTTTCGACTACCGAATATTAATAGTTTTTGACGTGGGTTATAAGTGAAAAATACCCTAGGAAAATAGCACATGCCTAAAAGTTGGTCTTGGTTGAATTTCTTTAAATCTATTTTCTTGACTCTTTCTCCATCATTCTCGCCGACAGTTTTGCAATATGATTTTGTTAACGACTTAAGTTATACGTTTACTTAATTTTTATAACAAGTTATTTACTTACTAATCAATGTTTATTAAATTTGACAACATTCTACATGTTATGTTATAATATATGTTTCCTGTAGTAGCACCTTAATATACCAGTCACAAAAAATCAGAACATGTGAGGAGGTCTGAAAATATATAACATTCCCTCTTTTTTTTACTCTTGGTAAAAAAAATTCATTTCACTTTACTGATAATTCCAACATTAGAATGCTATTGTTTTAATTTTTTATGTGCAACTTATTAGGAATGCAAGGTAATGTAGAACCCATGTGTGCTTTAATGAGAAGCAAACTACTCTATGGCCTTGTTTTGTTACAATCTTGTTAGATCAAACACCAACAAGTGGTAGTGGTGGAGTGATAAGTACTTTTTTATTCTTAACTAGAGGTCTCGGGTTCATTTAGCCATCTCTAATGCAAATGGTCCTACACCCAACCTATTCTGGTAACAACAACTTAATGCTTCTAACTACCAAAAAAGATAGATTTTCTTGCTCATATTCCCTACTTGTCTGCTGACTATTACATCATATTGCTTAAAATATACATCTGTAATGGACTGATACCATAAAAAACCAATAGCTAAATTGTTAAACACATTCTTAATCTAGAGTAACAAAACAAAATTCGCTCGTCTCTAACAGAAAGTATTTACTAACATCCGGTGTTCACACCAAAACAAGCAACTTAACTTTAAGACACAGTGAAATAAGTGAGGAGCTAGTAAAATGTTTATATATAGCACCTTGCATTTATTGACTTAGTACAAACATCAAGTACGAGAAATTTTATAAGTTTCTCGAGCATACTACTAAGTAATTTGCCTACCCAACTTATAATGTAATTCATGAAATTAAAGCCTACTTATATAGTTAATATAATATTTTATAGAATCTAAATAAAACCAAGATTACGTGTACAATGTACATTAGGGCATAAGTTTCAATTAATCATAGCAAAAGACTATGATAGATTAACCAAATAACATTTTTTAGCTAATTTAGCCAGGCTAAATACCTACTATGTATAGATATATAATGTAGTATTAATTATGAGCGCATTGTGTCGGTGTGATATTTTTCTCTTACGCCGTAGTCCGTAGGGGAAGGGATCCCTAAATTTATTATAGATTCCTTCAATTGAATGTATAGTCTTTATATCAAGTACAGTTCTCGTCCTCCTTTATGCAGCTAAATGTGCTTCCAATATAAAACTTACTCACTCCCGTTATTTACATCAAAATAATTAATTTATTATGGTTAAGTGACAGACCGAGGCGAAAACGCATACTAAACTAATCATGGTTAGCGATAAAAGTACGCTTCAAATATATATATTCCAAGATAAATTCTTATAGTACTTGGCAAAAAAAAAAAAAAATGAATTTCGTACTTAGTTTCTTACATAAGTTCAATGAATAAGTTTCTTGATCATAGTGTCACAAACTAAACTCGTTGTATTGACGAATGCAGGAAGTGGAATGGGGCAAAGTAAATATGGTAGAGGCTGAGAAAAGACTACTAGCAAATGCTCTTCTTGACATCTCCAACCAAAGATTTGTTCTCCTTTCAGAGGCTTGCATTCCCTTGTTCAATTTCTCTACAATCTACACTTATCTAATGAACTCCACGAAAAATTTCGTGGAGACATATGATCTTCCCGGCCCAGTGGGCCGGGGCCGATATCGTCATCAAATGAGCCCAACAATCAAGATTCAACAATGGATGAAAGGGTCTCAATGGTTCGAAATAGATAGAGATCTTGCTATCGAGGTTGTTTCAGACAAGACGTATTTTCCAGCATTCCAGAAATATTGCACAGGTTCGTGTTATGCTGACGAGCATTACTTGCCGACATTTGTGAGCATGAAATTCGGGAAGATGAATTCGGGTCGGACCTTGACTTGGGTCGATTGGTCGAAAGGCGGGCCCCACCCGACCCGATTCCATAGGTCAGATGTCACTGTGGAGTTCTTGGAGAAGTTGAGGAGTGAAAGCCAATGTGTGTACAATGGTGAGAAGACAAATGTGTGTTATTTGTTTGCAAGGAAGTTCACTACTCATGCTTTGAGTAGACTTCTGATTTTTGCACCAATGGTTATGCATTTCAACAGATAATAGGATTAATTAACACATTTTTATGTACATGAAAAACCAATTCTTTTGTAACAAGTGATCACATGATCAATAATTTTTCATTGTTTGATTTTTTCTATCAGTTCAACAAAGTCTGATGGGAAAAAATAAACCATAGTCATAGGAAAATAAAAGTGAAGATATGTAAACAATTTCAATTTTTCTATAAAAGAACATTTTCAGCTCTTTCATAATAGGTTGTAACTTGTTCAGTTAGTGTTCTTGATTAGTGTTTTTCCAAGTGAGACAAGGTTTTTGTTAAAATTTATAGTGAAACATATAACATTTAAATATGGTTATGTAATTACGTAAACAATATATCTACAAAAAATATATGTCTTGCATTTATTGATTTCGTGTAAATATCAGGTGCAAGTAAATTTTTACTAGCATATATCAATTTTTCTTTTCTTTTTTGAGGAGGGTGAGTTTCATATCGGGAAATTAATTAGGTTATCTAGAACGTCTATTTTTTGGAATCAGCAACAATATATTTATTTTGGTTTGTTTCCAAAATGTGATATTAATGCTTTTAGCAACTTCAAGACCTTAAATCCTTGGTAGGGAGCGCTACTCCCGAATGGGGCCCTACCTGGCTCGAATCCGGATATAGTCATGCTCCAATACGGGTAGCAAACATCGAGTGGGAATCAAAAAAAAAAAAAAAAACCTTCAAGACCTTATGTTGCTTGCTCAACTCGGTCAGTATGAAACTTATAGAAGACAGACTCAGAAGAGGAAATGAAAATTATATTAATTAGTAGTAATATTTATTTATGATAGATTAACTGTGTGTCGAATTGAAAATTACTTTACATTTTTTTTGGGAAGTCCGGAGCAAAGAATTGGGGAACTTAAGAATCGGGAAAAAGTGGAAAATCTTACTTTAAGTGGATGGTATGAGTTCATCTGTAATGGCTGCACAATGAAAAAATGTAAAGCTTAACTTATACTAGAAAATAAACTAAAAAATGACAAAAGAGGAATAATTTCAGCTTGTAAACGTTCTCCTAATATCTTCTGTTATAGGAAAAGGATCAAGACTAAAAGGTTAATTTACGAAACTCAGAAGAATAAACTAATAAAACCTTTCACTACTAGCTAAGCTAAATATCACTGACTTGCACCACATGTATTATCTTCAGAAACAGCAGGAGAGTCAGAAACAGAATCAGCAGTGTCATGAGAAGGTGAAACCTCAACCCCACGCAACTCTTCAATCATTTTCACAACATAATTTATCTTTGGCCTTTGATCTGGTGATGCTGCAGTACAAGCCATTGCTATCTGCAATAACCCCACCATTTCTTCCTCAATGTCCTTATACCTCATCAACTCCAAATCAAACACTTCCGCTGTCCACTCTTCCCTCACCACGGATTGCACCCACCTCGGCAAGTCCACGACGCCTCCATAGCCGGTTCCAAGACCACCATTATCCACGACCGAGGGGCATTTTCCGGTTAGCAGCTCGAGGAGTAGGACCCCGAATGAGTAGACGTCGGATTTTTGAGTTATTTTTCGACCATCCAATGCTACTTCAGGGGCTCGGTAGCCATTGGTTTTTGGGACGGAAGATGGCGTCGCGAAGATGGCTAGACCAAAGTCGGAGACACGTGCATTGCCACCTTTGTCAATGAGGATGTTAGTTGATTTGATATTGCCATGAGTTAGTTTCAAGGATTTGCATGAGTTGTGGATAAAGGCTAGCCCTCGAGCCGCTCCGGCTGCAATCTTTAACCTTGTTGTCCAGTCTAAAGGAGTTCTTCCCGGCCCTCTGTTTCCTGTAGCAAAAAAGATCATTCCCATCAAAATAAAGGGCAGCCCGGTGTACTAAGCTACCATTATGCGCGGGTTTAGTGAAGGGCCGGGCCACAAGGGTCTATTGTACGCAACCTTACCCTGCATTTCTGCAAGAAGCTGTTTCCACGTCTCGAACCCGTGACCTTCTGGTCACATGGCAGCAACTTTAATAGTTACGCCAAAAGTCCCCATCAAAATATTTTCCCTAAATACAAAAATCAAACATTTCCATTTTGTCTGTTTATTTGCCTAACACAGTAACACACTACTAGTGTTTGTTATTGAAAGATGAAAGGACAACTTAAACCAAACAAAAGAACAAAAGCATGGAAAGAGAGGACAGGAGTATGAAGTTGAAACAACAAACTTTTTGATGGAATAGTACATAACAGTTCCTAGTCCTAAGATGAGAAAAATAACATCTGAAGCAGCTGTATACTGTTACATGAGTGATAGGTGCAATTCAACAAGTTGATCCTGTACTATTTGAACCAGAAACAAACAAGAGCTTATTTCATTATCTACCTACCAAACAGATGCAAGATTTGCAGAATGGCACTATGTGAAGAACTTGTGCGGTCAAAAAGACAAGCAAACGCTGTAGAGAAAAATAGGACAGTAGGGCATCCTTTGCCTAAAAGGGTGGAATTTTCCTTCTTTTGCTTTAGCCCGAAGAAGAGAGAAAAACACAGTATATACAGCTGGTAAGAGACTTCCTTTGCTCTAATCTTCTCACTTTAGGACCATTCTGAGTAAATTAGATTCTTTGAAAAACTTTTTTTTAAAATAAGAAAACTAAAAGAAAGTTTGAACTTAAATATAGAGCTCCCTGCATTTGACTATCAGGATAACCTATGTTACAAAGAATGTAAATTACTAACATACCTTCCCAAAAAAACTCTAATACTTGACTATATAGGTTATATCATGTACTGAACAATATAATCACAATTGCAATGCATATCTGATGCAAATTCTACACAAATCCCATTTGCCCATCCCAAATGCAAATTGAATAAGTGGCCAATCACCAGCACTAATTTTGAAGCTCCAATTGGATAAAAGAAACTCCCAAACAGGACTACCATGATATTATATTGATTTTCAGTACTACCATTTTCAGTAATCTCACATAGCTTGCTTCAAAATATGCAACTTTTTCTTTAGAAACATTAACTAAACTAACCATAACCAAAGCTCAGTAGTGGCCAACCCCTCCCCCCCTCCAAAAGGCCAAAACTACTGTCTAGTATTGACAATCATACATCCCATCTCAATTCCTATTATGCATCAGAGGCTACTGATTAACTGTTGCAGACCAAAAGGCAATTAAAGACAAAAAGGCAGACTCAAGCCCCATGTGATTCAAGCTACTACTTCCCAAACTTTACCATCCCAAATCAATCAATATTCTTTTCAACAACACAATCCTAAAGATCACATTTTCATTAAAAAATAAGCCATTTGTAAATATTTTAGTATTATCAATTTCTTGAAGAACAAAAGTCTGAAAATAACATACCATGAAGAAGCCAAAACAAGTTGCCATTAGTCATGAAATCATAGACCAACAACTTCTCATCTCTAGCAAAATAATATGCTTTCAAACCAACCAAATTTGGGTGTCTAAGTCTTCCCAAAACTTCCATTTGTTGCTCAAATTCTCTTTTCCCACAAACATTCAATTCTTTCAATCTTTTCACAGCCACTACATTTCCATCATCCAACACTGCCTTATAAGCAGTACCAAATCCACCTTTCCCCAACATCTCAGCCGACGCTCTCAACAAATCCTCAAGCTCAAATCTCTTCGCCCCTTCGAAAAACACCATCTTCCCCCTCTCGAACCCGCCCGTTTGGCCCTGACCCAAGCCCGTATTCGGATACGGGCTCGACGAGTACACAATTTTCTCACCTTCAAGAATGTGTGACCCATGTTTCTGAGATGACATTTTCCGAGTGCAGAAGAAACAGTACAGCAATAAACAAACAACAACAAGAACAAACACATCCCCAAGTATAATAGCGATTATTGCTAATGAACTCATCTTACTTCCACTGCTATGACGCGTTACTTTTGGACCAGCGGATGTTGTGGTCACAGGCAATATACTAGGAGAAGAAGCCACAGTACTTTTCGGACTCACCGGAGCTGCCATTGTCGGGTCACGAGGAATATTCACCGCACATTTTGGCAATGGAAAACCGCAAAGCACCCGGTTTTTCAAAAATGCTGAAACCGGAAAACCAGAAAGCGAAGAGGGTATTTCACCAACAAGTTTATTACCCGAAACATTAAACTCTTGAAGATTAGAAAGCTTAACCCCAGAAATCTCACCGGAAAAATCATTTTCTTCTAAACGAAGAGTAAGCAAATGAGTTAAACGGTTCACATTCGCCGGAATCTCACCGGAAAAGTTATTATACGACAGATCAAGCCGGTATAGCTTAAAAAGAGACGTTAAAGACTCAGGAAAATCCCCAGAAAACTCATTATGCGAAAGGAACAGTAGTTTAAGTGCAGTAAGTTTAGAAAGATTCGGAACTGGACCTGAAAATTGGTTGTTTTTTAAGCTTAATACGCGAAGTTCTTTCAAAGATGAAAGGTTTTGAAAAGACCCTTTGAGGTTAAGATTTTCAAGAACAAGTCGAGAGACTCGGTTGTTAAGACATGAAACTCCAGTCCATGTACATGGGTTGGTGCTAGAGTTCCAGTTGGAAAGTGAGTTGGTTTGGTCACAAGCTGATTTGAAAGCTAGTAATGGTTGAATATCTGGGTTTAGAGAAGAGGAATATTTGAGAAGAGAGAAGAGGAAGAAGAAAGAAAGGACTGTGTAATGGAGTTTTTTAGCCATTGAAGAGTGTGAAGGAGAGAGTGGAGAGTGTGAGGGGAAGAAGTGAAGAAGGAAGAGAGAAGGTGGTAACGGGAAGGAGGGGTTGAGTGTAATTAATGTATGATAATAACGTGACATTTCAGGGGAATTAATGCGCGGTTTTTACCTTTATTTTTTCTAACCGTTATAATTATAAATTATACATTAATTATGTATATATTATATATTAATTATATATAATTATACATCAATTGGGTTAGCGATTATTTAGGTTAATGCTTAACTCTTATTTTAGTACTTACTATAGTCTATAGTCTTAGGGTTATGTTAAAAATAACCGCATGAATGTACTGCTAGTCAAATCTACAAGATATCTTGCTCTCTATGTTTCATTGGATATGGAATTTAAGAAATAAAAGAAAATTTTTAAAATTTGTAATCTGAAATAATCTATAAAAATTTCTATGGCAAGAAATCATCGCATTAATAGTAAAAAAATAAAAATTTAAATTATTACTAAATATAGAAATATATCTTTTTTGAGACTTACTAAAAGAGAAAGAGTATCACATAAAATGGGGCGAATAAAATATTGATTATATTAATATAATATATATACAACTGTTGGTTTATTGGAAACAATCTCTCTATCTCCACAAGATAGGGGTAAGGTTGCGTACACACTATCCTCCCCAGACTCTATATAGGATTACACTGAATTTGTTGTTATTTATATTTATTTTAAGAGACGTCTATATTACTATTTAAAAGTTGCAAAATGATAATACTCCATGAGTTCCATTGTAAATGGTACTTCAAGGTTTTATCGCACAAAACTATTTAGTAAATTATTTACATAGGTACTTGACTAAGTGGGTGTTTGGACATAAGAATTGTAAAATTTCGAAAAAAGTAAAAATAAATAAATAAAAATGATATTTAAAAATTAGAGTTGTGTTTAGACATGAATACAATTTGGAGTTGTTTTTGAATTTTTTTGAGTGATTTAAAGTGAATTTTTTTTAAAAAAATAACTTTTTGGAGTTTTTCAAATTTTCGAAAAATTTCGAAATTAAATTTCAAGAGAAATATAAAATTTTTTTTGACAAACATTGATTCTGAAAAAAGTAAAAAAATATCTAAAAAAATAAAAGAAAACAATTTCTTATGGCCAAATGGGCCCTTAAGTTATTCTTTATAGTTTCTCAAATTATTCTTTATTCCTATTCAGGTTGTTAGATCATTTAATGAAATATGACTATATTTAAAACAAAATATCTTTTTATTTTTTAAATGATGCATTTATTTTGGACGTTTCTCTGCACATGCAACAATGCAACAGTCACTTTATTGAGCATGTCTTGTACCAGATACTTGCTTACATCATCCCAATGACGTCACATATATATTACCAACACGAGGCAAGGGAAAACACACACTTGCAAACCCTAAATCATTAAGTCTCTATGAAGTGTGTTGTCGCCTTTCATTGACTCCAAGGCTTGAAGAACAAAGTAGCAACAGAACAAAAGACCAGATCCCAGCACTGAGTTTATTATGTGTCCTTAGTATTGTTATATCTTTGTTAGTATTATTTACTTGTAATTTCTACTCAGCTTAGTTAGAAGCATTTTGTAGGATATATATCTTTTGTAAAACCATAAACCGTGTGTTTTGTGTTTGGATAGAGTTAGTCAAGTAGTAAGCTTTGTAATAGAGTTATTACAAAGAGGCTTGCAATAGAGTTATTGCAAGTAGTTGAGGGATTAAGAATTTAATTCCTAGATTACAATATATTGTAATCTATAGTTTGCTCGGTTAGTGAAGTTGAAATCCTACGAGTGTAGGTCGTGGTTTTTAATCTCGTGTACTAGGAGTTTTTCACGTAAAATAGTGTCGTGTCATTTATTTACTATTATGTGTGTTCTGTGGGAACTGATAAAGAACTAGGTTCTCTATACAGTTTGGTGGACTCTTAGTTTACATTATTTCGGGTTGAAGAAATAACAATCCAAATAAGCTCGGATTTGATCGAAGTTTTTAAATTCGATTTCAGATTAAGCAGTTTGAATAAGCAGTTTTTCGGTTTTGAGCTTATAAGTTGAGATATTTCTTCTTTTTACAAAAATGAATATCTAAATGAAATACTCATGTTAAATTGCTTGAAAAGTTCATTCTCACCGCAATCATTCAAATAAAATATTCAAGTAATAAAATTATTATCAAGAAAATATAATAGAGACATTAATACGACCGATAAGAAGTAGCAATAGTAAAACCATGTCCAAATAGAAAGTATTTTGACAGTAACTTTGTAATTAATGATGAATATATGAGATAATATATAGTGAGTAGGGTGAACTTATTACTATTGACATATGGATAATGGATTAAATACAAAGCATAAAAATTTCGGATATCCAAAATTTCGAAGTACCAAATCCAATATTCAATCCAAAATCCAAAAAATTTAAAAATTAAACCCAAAATCAAGTCCGTAATTCGAAAATCCAAACAAAAAATCCAAAAAATTTAAATTTCGATTTGAATTTCGGGTTTGCCCAAAGTATACCCTTACTTTGAAACCAATAAAGAGGTTTTATCCCATTTAGAAGGTGCATGAGGTATTTTCTTAATTTAAAAGTTCAATAAATTATAGAATTTTCTACAAAGCTTTTGTTTGTTTGTACAGTAATGCATATATTCCTTTCTTATCCAGAAGTTTATAGTAGAGTGAGACCTGTTATAACGATCATCATGTATATTTTACTTCTTTATTTTAAAGTTTATACTACAGTTAGATCTTTTTATAACAATTATAATTTATAACAATCAAGTTTTCTTTAAAACTAATATTTTGTGTTATGATATATTATATATTCTGTATACAGCAAAAGAAAAATATTAAAACGAATTAATATTATTATAAAGTAAGGAAAAAAGATAGAGGAAGTGCTAGGGCTTAGCTTTAGTGGTAGATGTGTCCAGAAAATGAGAAAAAAAGCTTCAAAAAGGGATTGCCTACGGCTGAATAAAGAAACAAAGCAACGTTCTTTTGGTCTCCTTGAAATTCTCCATTTTAACTTTTGCTTTTTGGGTACAAACCCATACATCTTTCTGAAGAAACTCAGATTTATCGCCTTTGGAACATCATTTGTCACTCTAGTGTCGTATAGTCGGAACTAAGATTTGAAGTTTATGAGTTTTGAATGTCATTGAATTCATAATTTATTTTTGTCACTGAGTTCGTAATTGAATATTTAAACATATTTAATAAACTTTCTTATGCAAATACATGATCTAAATAAAAGTTACTGGATCGTCCGAACCGATAACTAAAGGGTAGCTCCGCCCGTCTACAGTTCTGCTACTGTCAGCTAAGAACGAACCCTTTTTGCTCTATCACTATTTTAAACTACGGATAATTTGTCTACATTCAACAAAACCATCAATTATGGGCAAATGAGAATTCATAAAATTTAGTGTGCGTTTGGGCATAAGAATTGTAAAATTAAAAAAACAATGATTTTTTTTTGAAGTAAAAATGGTATTTGAAAAACACACGTGTTTGGACATGAATATAATTTTGGGTTGTTTTTGAATTTTTGTGAGTACTTTGAGTGAAAATTTTGAAAAACAGCTTTTTGGAAATTAGAAATTTTATGGCCAAACACTGATTTCGAAAAAAGTATAAAAATTCTTATATCCAAAAGGACTCTTAATAATTCCAATCCCATTTAACAAACTCTTATAAATAACCTCGGTTTTCCGTTCAATGTTCAAGAACGCTAGGGGCGAAGCTAGAGTTTAGGTTAGATGGTCGGTCAAACCCGAGCTCTAATAGATGAGCTAAGGAAAAACATATAGCTGATAATTAATATAAAAAACTATGATCATTAAAGATGTTATATTGCCCGTCCAAAGGAGTTTGAGTGAGAAATTTGGTTGAGCTTGTAGGCCTAGCCCGAGAGGGTCGAAATGATGCGAGGTGATAAAATTTTACTTTACATCGAATGTTTCATCAATCAATCGAACTTTACATACATATAATTATTTCATAACTATATTTAAGTGATATGTATTTTCGTTGGAATTTTTAACTTTTAAAGTTACATTGTTTGATTTGATATTAACTGGAAATAAATATTTATCAGGGCGAGGGTCGCACGCGCTCACAAATGGCGATCGATTGTGTTAACGTATTAAATATATTATCGTTTAAAGATCATTTGCAATTAGTCTTGACTTAGCCAAGGTCGCAAAGGCATTGTTGCCATTAATGACTATTTTGGCAAAGAAGAAAAAAGAAAACGAAAATAGAAAACAAAGAGAAGTACAATAATCAAGCAAAGCAAAAAAGGTAGATAGCGCTCGTATTTGGAAGTGCAAGTTATGTTTAAAAGCAAGAAGATTAATGATTTGGTCTAACGACAAAAGGCAAAGTTTGGGACTTTGATTAGCTATATGATTTGTTTAATTTGTCTTTCACACTTTACTAAAAATATAAATAATGACCTTCTGTTTCTCTTCTTGTCTCCAACGTGGGGCCAAATCAATGCTAGAATTTGCTTGATTCCATGCAACATTTCCCATGGTATGACTTTATTTTAATATATAGTACTTTTTCTTTAATTCTTTGAATAAAGAAACCTTTAATTCTAATGGAGCCTTCAATTTTGATGGTGCTGTTCAAGAATTTAGCTCCATAAAGTTAAAGGGGAGCGGCAAAAGCAATTGAAAGGGAAATATTATTGATTTTAGGAAAATATAAAATTCAATTTTTCTCATATCTTATTTTCTTTATTGTAAAAATTTACAAATTCTAGTAAAATTTATCTTGACAATAAAATTTATTTATTTAAAAAAATGACATTGTGTAGCCACTCTCAAAATTATATATATATATATATATA